GAGCTATGTGTTCACACACACTTTCTTAGCACGGGGTAAAGTATTTGATCCCAAAGAGCTATGTGTTCACACACACTTTCTTAGCACGGGGTAAAGTATTTGATCCCAAGGAGCTATGTGTTCACACACACTTTCTTAGCACGGGGTAAAGTATTTGATCCCAAGGAGCTATGTGTTCACACACACTTTCTTAGCACGGGGTAAAGTATTTGATCCCAAGGAGCTATGTGTTCACACACACTTTCTTAGCACGTGGTAAAGTATTTGATCCCAAGGAGCTATGTGTTCACACACACATTCTTAGCACGGGGTAAAGTATTTGATCCCAAAGAGCTATGTGTTCACCTTACTCAGAGTCAGTTTGCTATATACTATATAATATAATATCAGAATATACACACACCTGGAGAAAACTTTATGTCTGAAATATTTTCTTTTCTGTGTTGAAATGTAGCAATCTCTTCAAAAGTGTCTGCATTCACAACACAAAATCTACCTGTAGAATGAAATAACAGTAAAACAAGGTCACAAGGCCATAGTGTGTTATTTTTTACAAACAAGCATCTACATATAAACCTTTGCGTTTTTAGCATGAATAGTAAATCATTTTATCTGCTCTTTGTCATTTATTTGATAGAACTTTTCACACAGCAAAATACCAAGATTTTTAACCACATCCATCGTTTATTACATACCATTTTTAAATCCCACAGCAATAGCTTTACCATCAGGTGAGTAACCACATGCTCTAGCAGCTGATTGGAGTATTTTTCCACCTACTAGTCGATGATCTTTTCCAATATCCCAAACACGTAGTGTACAGTCATCACTGACTGTGGCACACCTTTCCATAGTTGGATGAGTTGCTAGTCCCCAAATCTCACCTTCTTTGTGTCCCTGTAAAGCATAAGCAAATGCATGTTCGGGAGTAGAACTAACATGGTCTATAGAGGGCAGTATTTACATGAGATGAGAGTTAAATAGTGCCCAACTTCTAGAAAAGTGAATACTTCCAGGACACTATTGAGTGACACATGTGGAACTCACATTTCAATACAGTCATAAAGTAGTTTGCATCACATGTTTTAAATGGGAATACTGTATCTACAAAACTACCCACAGTACCTTAAAACAACAATAATAACAAAGGTTACCTGAGTGAGTATGCTGATCGGTCCACTTTTTTCAATTTCCATGATATCGCCTCCTTGAGTTCCCACAAGAATATGACCATGGCCGAGAATAACTGACCTAACAGGGGGGTTATCTTTGAATAGAAGCCCTCTGGTGTTCTGAGCTAAACTTGTGCGTTTAATCGCATACGTCTTCAGACATCGTTCAAAACTGTCATCCCATAAACCGACTACTCCATCTTTACCTCCAGTAACAAAACCCTAAAAACATAAATATGTATGTTACATTTGTGGTCTGCTTTGTTGATGATGAAATGACATAGTAAATTCTAAACATGCACTACAAGCATTCTTCTGACCTACCACCTACATCTCCTTATAACTTACTCAGCAAGCACAGTGAATCTCTAATAAAATAGCAAATACTGAAACTAACATTGCATTGTTTACTGGATCAATATAACACAACTTTATTATTTACATATATTTGTAAGTATATGAACTATAAATATAGAATATATTTGTAAGTATATGAACTATAAAT